GGACATATCTCAGAGTACACAAGTCCGAATCAGGTGTTCTTAGAGGCATTTGAAAGCTAATTTAGAATACTACAACTTTCATGTTTTGGCAAAAAGCTAAATCAGAATGGATCTCAGTCGAAAAATGTGATAAACTGGACTTAACTGATCACACGGACTGCTTGGGAAATACTTAAAAAAGTAAGGGTATTTTGGACTTTTCACGTCCTACGTTGCTCCGATTGAGCTGAAATTTTGTAGGCACCTATAAAATACCATTCTCTACAACTTTTCTTCTTTGACCTAAGGCCAATTCGGCCTCTAACATAGGGATTCAAATTCAGACAGAATGTTGGGAAAAATTTTCCAGATTCTGGAATTTTTTGTAAACAATGGAACTTTCTTTAATTTCTTGGTCTAATCACTACCAAAGCCTCTCTTATAACCTTAATTTCAACATATATACTTCATACAACAAATTGGGCAGAAATTCATCAAACCCTAGCTCATCATATAAATTGGGGAAAACTTCCAAATTCATCACACCCACTTGCATAATCATGAAATCAAGCCAAAACTTAAGCTAAAACACATCTTAAAGCAAGATTCAAAACAACAAAGATCATGATCAAATGTTGATACCTCAAAAGCAAGGCTTGGTAGAGTGATCCTTCACCCCCTTTGATATTTCTTGATTCTTCAAGATTCCCAACTCACATTTAGTACTTTAATCGGTTTAGAATTGGATTTCTTACTTGGGTTGAAGCAAATCAAGAAGGAAATTTTGTTTATTTTGCTCTCCTTTTCTCTCTCCCTTAGCTCAGCACTTAGCAAGAAAAAATGAGGGAAGATGGAGCTTAGTTATCTTATAGGAAGACAAGAAGATTAGAGCTAATTGTGACCACAATTTTTGACCAACACTTGGCCTAATCTTGACCACAAAATTTTTCTCTTTCTTTCCCTTGCATATGAGCCACAATTTCGGTCAAGATTGCTGCCAAGAGAGAAGATATTTTGCTCAAGTTCAATAAATTTGTTTGGTAAGGAAAAATGGTGGTCAAGCAGTGCGTTCAATCGGTAGTGTGCGGGACCCGCCGGTTCGCACCGTTTTTCTTAAAAACTCACGTACTAGGGTTTTTACTTCCCATTCACTAACCTTATATCATTGCCACTAGTCACATATTATTTCTCACTTAAAAGTCACTTTTAATCCCAAATTAATTCTTACTCTGTACCGAAAATTCATCCGGCGAAAAATCGCGAAAACCCTAATTTTGCTCCAAACTTGAAATCGAAGCGTAAAACCCTATTTTCTAGGTTTACTTACACTTAATGTGAAATATTTGGGTAGTGGCCTTTGATAAATACTAATTTTCAAATAAAAGGGTATTTTTGAGGAAAAATACAAGGAATTTGCGAGTTCTCACATGTTTGGTGGACGGAATTGGTGTAAAGTGGGGTCTACGGACATGTTGGTTCTATTTACGTTGACGGAGTGTCAACGGGTTCGGATCAAGTACTGCAAATGGAAATCTGGCTCCTGAGAGCCATCTGTATCCTTTAAAGTGTGATGTTCGTTCATTTCTTTTACTTGATGTGGATATGTGACCTATAAATGTTTTCTCATGATTTCTACTGTTCATAGTTTTGGTACCTCATTGAGCTTCTAACTCACCCCGTCCCGTTATCCTTGTTTTCCTTACAGGAAATCGTCTTTTGGACCAATGATCATTTTGAAGAACGAATTGAGTTTGTATAACTACTAGTTTGTATAGCTCCTTGAAAGTTGGAAACCCTAAATGTATTTGAATACAATGGTTCCTTTTGGTTTGTAAACTTATTACTATGTATATGTTAAAGTGTTTCCGCATGTTGAAGTGAAATTTGTATTTGGGAATGTACATTCTCTCATGTCACATAATGATTGCTTGTACCTGGTTGGATGATGACGTGGCAGTGGCCCGTCCAATTCGATTTGACTCGTGAAGTTTTCTTCCGATTTTGATGAAGTTACGTATGAGTCCCGGCGAGAGTTGGGCAGGCGGTCCGCTGAACCCTTTGGTTCGCCTCAGGGTAAGGTGGGGCTGTCACAGTACGAACGTTTGAGTGGTTTTTTGATTGAAAATGGTTTCAAAAGAGGTATAGTGGATACTACCCTTTTCACTAAACAAAGTTTGCATGATCTTCTAATTGTACAAATTTATATGGATGATATTATATTTGGTGCTACTAATGAGAGACTGTGCAAGAACTTCTCCACAATCATGCAAAAAGAGTTTGAAATGAGCATGATGGAAGAACTGAATTTCTTCCATGGACTCTAAGTGACACAAACCCAAGATGGAACATTCATCAATCAAACCAAATACACCAAGGAACTACTGAAAAGATTTGGAATGAAGGACTCAAAGCAAGTTGGAACACCCATGTGTACATCTGCCAAGCTTGACAAAAATGAAGAAGGTACAAAAGTTGATGAAAAGAAATATAGATGTATGATTGGTAACTTGTTTTATTTAATAGCTAGTAGACCTGATATCATGTTTGCCGTGTGCTTGTGTGCTCGCTTTCAATCTTGTCCAAAGGAATCACATTTAACTGCGGTAAAAAAAATCTTTAGATACTTAAAAGGAACTGTGAATTTTGGCCTTTGGTATCCTAAGTGTCATGAACTTCCCTTGTGTAGATTCTCTGATGCTGATTTTGGTGGCTGTAGAGTAGATAGAAAAAGTACAACTGGTGTATGTAATTTTCTTGGAAGTTTCTTAGTGTCCTGATTCAACAAGAAACAGAATGCCATTTCATTATCTACAACCAAAGCAGAATATGTTGCTGCTGGTGCTTGCTGTGCTCAATTGTTGTGGATGAAAAACACTTTGAATGATTTTGGTTTAGTGTATAATTCTGTACCTATATTTTGCGATAACACTAGTACCATTAATTTGACAAAAAATCCCATTCAACATTCTAGGACAAAGCATATAGACATTAAGCATCACTTCATTCGCGATCTTGTCCACAAGGGTGAAATTTGTGTTCAATATGTTTGTTCTAAAGATCAAATTGCTGATATCGTCACAAAAGTCCTTCCACTGGATCAATTTGTGTATCTGAGAACAAAACTGGGCGTCTCAGAAAAAATTCTCTAAGTTTCTCTTTGGTCACTTCTTATCGGACGTTCGATAGATTAAAACGGACGTTCGACAGTGTTCTTTATTCTTTTCTGGAAAAATTCTGGTTCGGACGATTGCGTCGGACGCGTCACTTCGTTCGGCCGTCCGACACTCAAAAATTGCTTCATATAAGGAAGCCACCTACCTCATTAAGTTCATTTACTCTCTTTGTCTCGGACGCAACCCTTCAGTTTTCTCTCAAAATTCAAATTTCAAATTACTCTTTCCTCTAATCAAGTTCCAAGAAATTGATTCAATCGACACCATTACACCCCTATTGTCCGTTGTCTGAACATAATAACCTCTTCCAACTTCCAACTGCCTCATATTTCCCAAATTTATATCCAAAACCCTAAGTGTTCAAATCTCACTTCTTGTGGTTGGTTCGTGCATCACTATTAACTCATATTGCACTCTTCATCTATCTTATACACTTTGCACCACTCGCTACATCAATATCCAACTACATTACATCATGGTTAGGATGCTATTTTAGATTTAGGGATGAGGATATTGAAATTGTGGAACCCTCTACCAAAGCATCCAAAAAGAAAACTGCAAACAGAGGTGGAAAGGTGAAGCAAACTGCTCAAAGGAAGCGCGATGCTCCAACTGTTGAGCCATTTGATGACCAGACGGAAGAGCGTCACTCTGAAGAAAATCTAGGTGGTAGGAATGTAGAAGAAATAGAAGAAATGGAGGAACCCACCCATGCTGAAGTGACTGTCTCGAAATCACTTGGGAAAATAAAAAGGTCTGCCCAAAAGGGAAGCACTCCTCAACCAAATGCAGAGAATAATGCTGAAGTTCAGCACATCCCTGAGCCATCTGCCAGAAAATCTCCATGGACAAGGCCTGAGGTTCAGAATACTGAGTTATCTGCCAAGTAAACTGCAAAAAGGAAACGGTCTGGAAAGGAACCAGTGACTCAGCCTGCTAAGGAACCTTTTCCTCTGCCAAAATTCATTGATGATGAGGCTAGAGACAGATTTGAGTTGGTCTCACAAAAGGGTTTCATCACTCAAAGAACCATTTCTCCTCCTGAATTTCGTAAACTTGATCTCGAACCTATCATTAAGCTTTTTGAGTTCCAAAAATGGATTCATCTTCTGTCCATCCCTAATACTTTTTACCCTGATATGCTTTATCAGTTCTTTGCAAATCTCAGAAAGGGTAACTCACACACTGAACTCATCTCTAGGGTCAACTCTGTAGACATCACGTTAACTCTTGACATTGTGAATTCCATTTTGAAAACAAGTATTGAATCTGATTTTAAAGGAAAAGTTGCAAATTTCTTTTCATATGAAGAATATCCCTTTACTTATCATCATTTTTACGTTGCTAAACTCATGACCTATTTTCGATCACATTTCAACACTCCTGCTGAGGCAAGATTAGAAGATCTTGGTGCTCAGAACTTGATAATTTTTACTATCATTTCAAATCTGTTGGTGCCCACTGATGGCCACAGAACTGATGCGAACAAAATGGAGCTTTATCTCTTTTACTGTTTTGTTGAAAAAGTCAGAATTGACTTTGGGTTTGTGATGTGCAAATTTTTGCTCAAAATTAGCACTGATAGTCATAGGAAGCTCTCTTATGGAAAATTTCTGACTCCTATCTTTGCCCATTTTAAAATTCTTTTTACTGGAAAATCACCCAAAGACAGTGCCTCAACAGTTTTCTCACAAGCGTATTTTGAAAGAAAGAATCTGAAATTTTTTTAGGGCTATTGGTATTATAAGGAGACTGTGACAGAAATTAGGAGAAAAAATATTCACGAAACCCTTGACTACTACTACCGCTCGCAAATGAATGGACCCCTCCTTGGGTAGATCCGATGTCCTAAACTTGAGTTCCTTCCTTTTCTATAGCCTCGATAGAGTCACGATCGTCCACCGTTTCAATTTCGACATCTTCTTCAGTGCGAGTTGCCGATAAAGATTTTGAAGCTTTGGGTGGCGTCTTCTTCGCTGGAACCACTGATTGCGCCTCTTTGATGGCCTGTCGAGAGTCCTTGGAAGACTTATTTTTTGTGGCAATATTTTTCGAGGGACTGCTAGTAATTTTGTTCTTTCGCAAGGTGGATGAGGCAAGACCCGTTACAATCTCTATAGCTCCATTATGATGCCCTGGCTCGTTAGCGGAGGTAATATTACCCTTCTTCGATGATTGCTGAGGGATTTTAACGGTGAATTTAAAGGAAGTTGAAGAGACACTATTTGACCGAGTCGACCACCAGGCATCATAGTCTTTTGTGATCAATGGATGCTTCCTGTGCACGGGTATAGTCATCCGAGGCCGTGTCTGCGTGCGAACTGAGGAATCCCATAGTTGAATAGCCTCACCCAACGTATACGTGTGAGTGATCTCTTTCAAGTTGTTGGGGATGTCCTGACAGAAGCCGAATTGTCTGCTAAACCTGCAAGGATTATATTTTTCAATAATAAAAGTATTGTCCTTACGTAGAGTTAAATGGCGAGAGCGTTGACTAATGAAATAGCTCGTGAGTCTTGATGATAAGGATCCGTCATCGATCAACGCCTTTTCTTCATTCTCAGTCCAGCACAATTTAGGGAGCATCAAAGGATTCACTTCTTTGAAAATTTCCTCAGCTTCCAGTTGACCATAAAATATTGTCATTTTCTCACCACTAAATCTCGTCATGCGCCCGTGGTGGCTACTCACTTGATTATTCTCGTGATATACGTCAAAGTATTGGCCAATCCAAGCATAGACGTAATGGATTGGAAAAGCTACCCCGCATTCTCCAAGGTTAGGGGCGTAGACGATCTCCCTCAACCCATGATATATGCTCGCAAGGACGGGAATTGCAAGACAAAATCTTTTCCCTGTAGCCATTAAGCATGCAACCTTAAAGACACTTGGGCGAATGCGATCGACCTTTTTGCTTGGCAAAAGAAACTTGCAAATCCAGCACGCTATGAATGCCGCAATGTAGGTTTCCTTTCTTAAATACCCTGGAATGTCCAGTGTGTCGAAAGGGACGTTGAAGTCCTTCGTATCAGCAAGGTCGTAAGGCTCCCGCGCTGAAGGAACAACTTCATCAAAAAACGCGCCATCGATCGAAAGGCCACCAAGTCGATAAAGATCCCAAAGTGTGATGGACAACTCCCCAACGGGCGTATGGAGTGTGTTCGTCGATGGACACCAATATTTGAAGAAGGCTCGTAAGATATTTTCGCAGCGGTCGTAGGAGTATCTCGACGCGTAGACGGCTTCAAATATACCAGCGCGTGTGAGTATGTCTTTATACCTTCCAAGCATGTTCTCAACCCACTCCCAATAATGGGAGGTGAAGCACGCCTCACCGAAGAATAACGAAGGGGTTTTCCATGTAACTTTGTCAACATTGAATCCCACAAACGGAAGCGTGAATTTGGCTATTTCTGGATCTCCATTGTGGAGTGACGAGTTTAGTACGACCACTTCCTCTTCCCTCGACGTAGTGGAGAAAGTCGACGGTGCCACCACTTCCTTAGTCCACTTGCTAGTCCAATCTTCGAGATGAAAGCATCCTTCGAGGGGTATGAAGGATTCAGCGAGCGGGCCAATTGTCGGTTTGTAAACATGTAGTGACAAGCTCTTTGATTGCGTTCCTCCCCGTTCATCCGTCAGTGAAATATGCGGCACTGGCACGGCGTAGTCCTTAATTTGCATGATTGCTGGAATCTTGTAAAAGAAAATATTAGAGGATGCAGGAGCGTCGTGCAAGAAGTTTGGTAATTAAATTACCTAATTGGTTGCCTCTTCTCAAATCCCCGAAATTATTTCGAACCCCTCTTCAAGCGCAGCTTGAGTTGTCTACAAAGAGGCAAGTTGACAAAGTTTAGATCAAAATCATGTATAGTAATATTTGGGGGGCCAAAAAAAAAAAAAGGGCTCTCAAATACCATATTTGATATTACCCTCATACATGAAAAAAAAAGGGGTTCAAATATCATATTTATCCTAATAGATTAAAAAAAAAAAACTAACTTTTGCTCAAATAAGCATGTTTAGTGTTAAGGGAAAAAAAAGGGGTTCAAATATCATATTTGGTATTATCCAAATAGATTAAAAAAAAAAACTAACTTTTGCTCAAATAAGCATATTTAGTGTTAAGGAAAAAGGGGGGAGGTTCAAAGCGTCTCAAACTTCTTGTAATAATTAAATGTTGCAAGTAAAGAAGAAAGAAAAAAAAAGGAAGCCGCAGGTACCTGATGACGGCTGACTCTGGCGTGCGGCAATTTGTTGATGCGGCTTAAGAGAAATAAAACTCGTTGAGAAGAAAGTATTCAAACGCTACCAATGGATGACAGTTGATGCTTGCGGCTCAGTGAAGATCTCAAGGGTCAGACGCTGTCAAGACAAACTAAAGCAAGTATGGGAACCGTCGATACAAGAAGGTATGAATGTGTGTGAACGAGAATTAGAGTGACTACCTTCAAAGCTATAGTGGAAGAAGCGACCAGATCCTTCAAACGGCTTGCAACATTGACAACGAAAATGTTGTCTCCGAATCTATTGTTGCACAGACTACAAGGGTAAGCCGCGGTTCCTCGACGACCTTGTGGTGAAATCAAAGAAGCGAGAGGATCATATTCAAGACCTTCGAAGAGTTTTTCAACGCCTTCGAAGATACCAACTGAAGATGAATCCTTTGAAATGCGCATTCGGAGTCACTTCTGGCAAATTTCTCTGTTTCATCGTTCATCAACGGGGAATAGAGGTCGATCGATCTAAAATTGATGCCATCGTGAACATGCCTGAACCGCGAAATATTCATGAATTGAAGAGCCTTCAAGGGAAGTTGGCATATATCCGGAGGTTTATCTCTAATTTGGCCGGGCGATGCCAACGCTTTAGTAGACTGATGAAGAAAGGGGTACCCTTCGAGTGGGATGAATCGTGTAGGAATGCTTTTACAAGCATCAAGGCGTATCTCATGAACCCCCCAGTGCTGGCTGCGCCCATTCCAGGAAAACCATTGATTCTCTATATTTCCGCTCAAGAACGGTCGATTGGGGCCTTACTTGCTCAAGAAAACGATGAAGGCAAGGAGCATGCGCTGTATTACTTGAGCCGGATGATGACATCTAATGAGTTGAACTACGCACCCATCGAGAAGTTGTGTTTGGCACTTATATTTGTCATTCAGAAGTTGAAGCATTATTTTCATGCACATACTATTCGTCTCATATCTAAGTCCAATCCCATTAAATATGTCATGGCAAAACCTGTACTATCTGATCGGCTCGTGAGATGGTACCTCCAGTTTCAACAATTTGAAATTATTTACGTACCTGCGAAGGCTGTCAAAGGACAAATATTGGCAGACTTTTTAGCCGATCATCCCCTACCTGCCGAGTGGGAGTTGACTGATGAACTTTCCGATGAAGAAGTGTTTATGGTCGAATTGCCGTGGTCAATGTATTTCGATGGAGCTGCCCACCGTGATGGAGCTGGTGCGGGAGTTGTCTTTTATACTCCTGAAGTAGATATATTGCCATACTCTTTCACTTTAACACGCCGGTGTTCCAACAATGTGGCTGAATATCAGGCGTTGATTCTCGGTCTTGAAACGGCTGTAGACATGAAGCAGTTGCATCTTAGAGTCTACGGTGATTCAAAATTGGTGGTAAATCAACTCCTTGGTGTTTATGGTGTCAAGAAACCTGAATTGGTCCCATATTACAAGTATGCAAGGCAACTCATGGGATATTTAGGTAATGTCACTATAGAACATATCCCTAGAAATTTCAACCAACAAGCTGATTCTTTGGCAAGGGTGGCGTCCATGATCACTCTACCTTCTCATCGAAATCAGATTTTAATATGTCAAAATTGGGTCATACCTCCGATGTTTGATGAAGGTAATGATAGTGAAGAAGAAAATACTTATCATATTTTTGTCCATGAGATCGAAAAGGAGGATTGGCGTCACCTCATCATTGATTATCTTAATCATGGAAAGTTACCAGAAGATCCTAAGAAAAGGGTTGATATACGTCGTCGAGCACCACGTTTCATTTACTACAAAGGGACGCTTTACCGAAGGTCATTCGATGGGGTGTTTCTACGATGTCTTGGAGAAGATGAGGCCATGCAAGCAATGGAGGAGGCTCACTCTGGGATATGCGGTGCTCACCAGTCTGGCCCGAAATTACACTTTCGTATTAAAAGAATGGGATACTACTGGCCAACAATGGTAAAGGATTGCATTGACTTTGCTAGAAGATGTCAAGCATGTCAATTTCATGGCAATTTCATCCATCAGCCCCCTGAACCATTGCACCCAACTGTGGCTTCTTGGCCGTTCGATGCTTGGGGTTTGGATATAGTTGGACCACTTCCAAAGTCTTCTGGCGGACATGTTTTTATTTTGGCGGCGACGGATTACTTTTCAAAGTGGGCTGAAGCGATTCCTCTAAGAGAGGTCAAAAAGGAGAATGTAGTGGATTTCATTCGCTTGCACATCATTTATCGGTATGGAGTCCCACGTTATATCATCACTGATAATGGTAAACCTTTTTGCAATGTAGCAATGAACAAACTTTGCGAAAAGTTTCATTTCAAACAATACAATTCGTCCATGTACTACGCTGCCGCAAATGGACTCGTTGAAGCATTCGACAAGACCTTATGTAATCTGTTGAAGAAGATCGTGAATAAATCGAGAAGGGATTGGCATCTTCGAATTGGAGAAGCACTTTGGGCATACCGAACTACTTTTCGAACTCCCACGCAAGCGACCCCATACGCGCTTGTTTATGGTGTTGAAACTGTTCTTCCACTTGAGTGTCAAATACCTTCGCTAAGAATTGCGATTCAAGAAGGGCTCAGTGAAGAAGATAATGTTCGTCTTCGCCTTGAAGAGTTAGAAGCACTCGACGAAAAGAGATTGGAAACCCAACAACGGATTGAGTGTTATCAAGCCCGCCTTTCAAAAGTATTCAATAAACATGTCCGGCCACGCTCTTTTCAAATTGGAGATTTAGTACTCGCTGTTCGGAGACCGATCATTCTCACTCATGGAGGACAAAGAAAGTTTACTGCTAAGTGGGTTGGTCCATATGTCGTTCGAGAAGTATATACAAATGGCTCATACAAGTTGGTTGCTGAAGATGGATTAAGGGTTGGCCCCATCAATGGCAAGTACCTAAAAAGGTACTATGCGTAATCGAAACCACGGGAGGCTCCTGGCCCGCATGAGCTAAAACTGTGGATGGCGACCACCAATAGTGTAGTATGTGGTTAAACTGCTGAAACACTTCACCAAGTCTAAGGTGGTAAACAAATAGATACTCCTGGCCCGCATGAGGTTAAAATGTGAACGGCAGGAACTACGTGTGACTTGATTCCCTTGTTGGGATACGTAGGCAGCTTGGAGGGCAACTTCTAAGTTCAGTTACACCACTCCAAATCAAATCCTTGTCCCTTGCAACAAAAAAAAAAAGAATTTTCTCTTTCCAAAATATAAAAAATAATAATAATAATAATAAAATGCTCCATTTGAGTTCTTTTCTCTTAAAAAAAAAAGCAAGAGATAAGAAATTAAAAGCGTTTTATTATTAAAAAGAAAAAAAAATTCATTACATGGAAAAAATGAGTGATTCAAGGAAAAGAAAAACATGGTGGAAAGTCTAAATATCAAATTTGTATTCCACTACAACTACTTTATATGATTCAAGTGCAGACTTCATGTCTTCAAGTTCCTTCACAGCGTCATCAGTCAAGATACTAGCATTTTCAATGGAAGATAGCTCATCATGCGCTTGGGATATTTCAACCTGGATCTCTTTGAAGGTCTCATGCTTTTGATCGATAGTTGAGGTGATTTCCAAGCTTTGCTTCTCCAAACTGATGAGTTCCTGTTGCAGAACCCTTTTCCTGTCTTCAATAGACTGCAACTTTTCTTCAAGATTTTGCAAATGACAAGTTAGTTCTTCTCCCTTTGCCTTAACTTTCTCGAGTTGGACGGTCGCTTTGGAAAGGAGTTCTGCATGTATTTCTTTGCTCATCCTTTCCCACGATGAAGATGCCAGAACATCATAAGCCTCCGCCTTGGCAAACAATTCCATCAAGTGGTCTTTCAAAGGGAGATCGTTGGTGGGATCCATTCTTGTGATTTCTGCAATGATTTCCTCTGCGCACTCTTTTAAAGAAGAGATCTGCTCAATCGGAGTGTCAAGAATCTGTCCGCGAAAATCCGTCCACAAACTCTGCAAATACTTTCTTCGATGTGCCTGGATCAGCTTTTGGCCATGAAACTCTGAAACTAGTACTACCTTAGGTCTTTTTCGGATTTCGTGCGAACTAGTCAGCTCCTTCTTATGCAGTGACGAGGTATCTCCACTGGGGGAAATTGTCTGGGAGTACTGATAGTTACTTCGTCACTTCTGTTGTTGGAGATTATATCAACTTCGAGCTCGGGTGGTGAATTGTTACCAACACCTTCTTGACGGAATTCAAGAAGCGGGGGCTGAAAAGAAAAAGGTTACAACCAAAAGAAAATTATTACAAAAAAAAGGAAAAAAGATGGAGAGATGATTACCTTAAGTGGCGACACTTCAACCGACGGTGGTGTAAAGGAAATCTCCTCCAAATCAGAAGATGTCCTCTTCTTCGATCGGTTCCAGTGACGATCTTGACTACTACTACCGCTCGCAAATGAATGG